CTCAGTCATAAAAATATGAAACGAACGCGGACAGTCGAAACTCTTCCCATCTTTTATTGTCTAGAAGTGGTGTCACAGGATAAAGATATACAGTAAGATAACGCTATCAAAATCATTGATCATAGAAATGCCTGTATTTTATTTTATTTTCTTTTAAAACTGCATATTTATAATGATTAAAAAGTATTTCCTGACTAGCTGTTATATTTTTCATATGTGTATGTGTATGCATAGCTGCGTGTGAGTCCCATATAAAAGAACAGCAAACAGGAAGATGAGATTGTGGCTGAGTATATTGAAATAGCTAATTTCACCTTTAGCAAGCGTTGGCTATTACTTATTTCTTCTTCGTGCCATTATTCATTGTACTGTTGTAAAATAATTTACATAACATAACAACATAACATAATATCAAGCGTTTTATCCCCGAATGGGTAGGCACAGATGCATGTTATCCCATTATGTAACACTCACTTTTCACTATTTATGTTATGAGTCGTATATAATAAGGGATGAGCCTATTGCCATATACCGGCACAGTACCGGACTCGGTGCTACTACTGATATTTTTTTTAAAAACCCAGTAATAGGGCTTTGCCCAACCCGGGATTTGAACCCGAGACCCCTTGTCCGGCAGTCGCTTTTGCGACCACTCGGCTAACGAGGCAGTCGCAAGCAGTAATTTACATTAAAATTTATGCATTTCATTTAATAGTTCTTTTGTAATAAAATCTATGTTTCTTTATGTTCTTTATTTATTTATTTATTTTTTTCATGTATTTATTTATTTCAGGCATCACAGGCCCATATCGAATACTATAAACTAATACATTAAAGATTTATAAATACTATACATACATTACAAACAAAATAATTACTCAATTAAGTACTTAATAACTAGGTCACGAATAGACGGCGTCGTGTGTCGCACAGTGTCTGGTAGCCGACCTCGGAACCTTTTTTGCTTACTCTGTGACGTGACCGAATAGAGAGATGCCTTTCAGCACTACTAGACAAGAACCTACTTTTTTACTCTTTTATCATATTATTACGCTAGTATTCTTTATACCACTTTTGTTTCTATGATGTTTATTTGTTTATTTGGTAACAAAATGTGTTCTTACATTTATTTCGTTGGTTTGTTACGTACTAAGATATTTGGTAAATTGTACGACCCTTACAAGAGTGCTTATAATTTTTCTGACAAAAATCTCTTTTCTTTGTGTCTTTATGAGATTAGATAAACAAGTTTTCTACTAGGTATTTACTTTTATATATACATTTAAAGAAAACTCCCTTAGAAATAAAACTATTAATTTAGAATCTTCTTTAAGTACGGTCACCGTTAGACCTGATTTATGTCTAAGTACAATATCGTACAACATTTTTTTTTATTTTTAATGCCCGTTTGGTGATTGTTTTCATTAGATACGTTTTTTATTTTCTTACAGAAGTAAATATTTTTAACGATATATTGATTTGAAATGTCGCGTGACGTTACTTCTAGGTACATTTTATACATAGAAATGACGTTTTTACTCCCACTCCTAACCTAAACCTTGACTCGTTTTATTTAAGTATTGTTTTCTTATAAGACATTAAAAAAATACTTGTCTGATATTTTTTCATTACTTAACTGGCGAAGTAAATAGATTTTCAATTTTCATACCCTGTATATCATGTCATCATCCCTATTATAGTGTCAATAAAAGAGTGTTGAATGTTATCAAATACATACTACGACCTGCACAAAAATCGGCAGTCTAAAGTCACATTTTCGAAAATGCTTGTAAGCCTAAATAAATAAACTTATAAGTAGACCTTAAGGACATAGAACTTAGAAAGATAAGTGTCGTGGTGGCTAGCAGGTTTAAGATGCCCGCTTCTCATGCATGAGGGTGCGGGTTTCAAACCTACCAACGGCAATTACATATGTGACTTTTCCAAATTGTATATACTTTCTAAAATTATTCAGACACCACTAACAAACGGTGAAGGAAAACATCGTCAGGAGCCTGGGCTTATAATTTCTAATTATAAGTTTGAAATCACCAATTTGCATTTAACAATCGTGGTGATTAATGCTCAAACCTTCTCCGTGTTAGAAGAGGCTTTGCTCAGCAGTGTGCATTATAGGCTTTGATGTGTGTGTAACAGGGAAAAAATTGATAGCTATACTTTCTAATTACTTCAACGAATTTATTTATCCGAAGCTTAGTTTATTTTTAAGTCATTACTGCAGCGAAGCGAAGAATATATGATCTAGTTCTAGTTCCACGTAGCATGCATTCAAATTGTAGATACTGCCAAACATTTTGTTTATCGGAAACAACTTTATCGAGGTTGCATGCGCTATTTGGGTTCAACTCTAGTATTCTAACTAGATCGCGTTGTTTTTGGTTCAAATCGATGTTTTGTGGGTGCATTGTTACCTATACCACTGTAGTTATAATAATATAATTGTGTACTTCTTAATCAAGAATAAATTATTTCGACTGTTCAATTCAATAAAATATTTAAAAATATTTTTAAGTAATAAGTATGTTGTTTGACGCTAAAAAAACGTGACGTCACTATAAACAATCTCGTATAAAATTCACAGAAAATTGCCGTTATTGACAGTTCGAAAAAAAATAATCAATTTCACTAGTTGTCAAGTACCCAAATGCATATAGCAGTTTGATTAACTTTTTGTAATATTTTAGATTTTTGGTTTGGTGATGTCACTATGCATTGGATCATCATTTAACACTCGATAACTGAAAGGCTGCTCAATTTGAAGTCACTTAAATATTGAGTACTTAAATATCGCGCCGTCTCTGTCCATTTTTTTTAATATTAATAAACCCTTCTAGCTTATCAGCATCACTGTGAGTCTTGTTTTACGGGATACGTAATTACACAAAAATAACTATGTTGAATAACAACAACATATTACCATTAGATTAAATGCCCAAAATTAGAGTACATTACCGACCATAAATGTGGTACTAATGCCATTCTTCGGTACGCATGATACCACGGCCTCACAGAAAACCGACGTGAAACAACGCTTGCGTTGTGTTTCGTCGTGTAAGTGAGGTACCGGAGGCCCAATAACCCTTCCTATTCTCTCTAATCGTTGAATCCCCAACAATCCTCAAACGGTATGGTAACGGTAATGCACTTATAACGCCACTCGTGTTTCGGGTGTCCATGGGTGGCGCCGATTGCTTATCATCAGGTGATACGTCTGCTCGTTTACCAGCTTATACCATAAAAAAGAGACTACTTTAGCCTCATACTCAGGAATAAATAGACTTAATGCATCCATTAGAGGTTTTTAAAGAATACCGAATAGATAAGAACAACAAGAAAACATTAAAGGAACAAAATTCATGTATAGGTATTATTATCATCCCCGAATATCACATTCTGAACCTCAATACGAACACAATCCACGTTTGCTATTACGTTCTAGTAAATCAAAACAAGGAAAAATATGAACTAAGCTAGATAACCTAAAAATTCGCCGAAGAAATATGAAACTTCTGGATATTTCGGGAGAAATAATTTGCATTGCAGGGCGGGTAGTATTTCCACTAAAATCGTTGTTTGCGAACCGCACAGCACTACGGTAATGCAAAATTACGATGAAACACTGATGTTTGAGTTTCATTCGATGGTTCCCTATTTCTTTTTAGCCAGTTTCTTTAGGGTTCGGATTACTGACCATCATTGAAAATTTTGTACAAAGTAAGAGGTCTGATATAAAATTCAAATGCTGCTAAAAGCTAATACAAGACTAACGGAGATAATAATCATACACAATTAACTAAAATCGCGGATTACTCACGTGAATATACTGAGAAAAGGTCGCGGTGACGTCGTGCAGCTCACAGCTCACTCGTCGGCACGCTGCTCATGAGGAAGAACCCCTCTGTGGTTCGAAACTAGTAGAGCTTTTCTCAGTATATTTACGTGAGTAACCCGCGGTTTTAGATAATTTAGTATCTCACGATAGTTATTACAAAAATTAGCCACAAATTTAAAAAATCATCATTATAATATTGGCTACCGTTATTGCATAAAAAAGGGATAATTGTACTCGTGTGCCGTGTGTACCAATTTCAATTATAAGTTCAGTATAATTATATTGGTTTATAAAAAAAAAACTTGATGCACTCAATATGGTAAAGATTTACATTTTATCAATATTCGCATAGGTGACACGCAAAGATGAACGTTAAATAAACCGTCAATGAATTTCATCAATGTCAATGTGATCGTGACCTCGAGATTCGACCAAGCATGATATTGATTGACTCAAAGAACTCAAAAGGACCCACCCGTATTTAAACAGACTGTCGTCTTTACAAAAAAAAAATTGTTTTATTTAGAAAATCCTTTTATTCTTTAGGTATTTAAAATAAAGGAGGAGCAATATTGTAAGTCGTACCGAAATTAATTCAGCATTTTTGAATTCAAAACACGCTTATTTGAATACAAAATCATTGATTCTGTTTTTCGAATTTAAGTGGGACCTGTTTTTATCATGTTTCGATACTTCAACCTTTATTTTTTACAAAAGGCATAGCGGCTCCGAAAAATGTTTCGGAGTAACATCGAAACACATTTCGCCATTCAACATCCCTTCGGCGTTTTATCTATTCAAATATTTCTTTTACAACTACATAAGTACGAAAATATAGACGAACGAAATATAAAGCTGTCAAACCTCCATCTAGAAAACTCAATAAGATTCCAAAATAAAAATCATGAGAAAGTGAAATAGCGAGGATTTAGAGAAAAATAAACACGCTCTTTATATGTCAACTTCGATCGAAACTGCGTCTTCTACCACACAAACGCGACCAGCTCTCGAAAGACATAAATATACTAAAACACGAGAGCACCCTAAGATTCTAAAATTAACATCCCCTTAAATAAAACTACAATCACTGTTACTAAATCAGAATCAACTTTGTTTCGCTGTTCCTAAAGTTCGTTTTTCTTTGTAGTTCCCCGTACGGTGTTAAAGGAGAGATACGAGAGTGCCCCTGAAGAGGATGAGGTTGCTCACGACGTGTCCGATCTTGAACACGATGAAGTCGGTAAGTGCTTTTTATTTTTTTAAACCTATTAAGCCGGCAGACGCTTGGTACTTGGCAGAAGGAACTGCTCAAAAAGCTATATTTAGACGAAGTTGTTGAGAGTCAATCACTTCAAGTGACTACCAATTATAAGCCACCAATTTTAGTTCGAGAATAAACAGGTGCTGTGTTAAAATATGTAACTTGAAGTTTTGAAGTGTCTTCAATAAAAACATAAGTAGCAAGGCTTTATGTCAGTATTTGGACATAACGCAACATGCTAGTCTGGAGTTTCGGTGATAATAAATTAAGGATGGACTTTGTCTGGGAGCCTTAGATAACAAGCTATTACTCCGTAATAAAACGTAGACTCATTACTTTAGATGAAGCCAGGCTATAAAGTATAGTAGCAAAAATAATGTTTCAAAAACATCATGTGCATAAAAGTTTGGTTTACCAAATACATTTTAATCAACAGATAAAACATTGTTTTGTTTAACCCGCAGAGGCTATTCGCAATCAGGAACACGATCTATCTAACTCTGGCTATCAAAATAATCACGCCACAACGATCTGTTGATGCGGAACACTTAAACAAATGACAGTCATCAGGGCTGGCCCTAACCATGGTTGAAAAACTACTAACTTTGGTGTTCACATTGAACTAGATTGGGCCAAAATGTAAGGTTTATGGTCGACCCATAAAGGTGTTGTGCTATAAACTTTGTTTGGATAATTCACAATGTCGGTAATCTTATCCCGTTGTATAAATTTTCCCTGTCAAGTGCTTTCGTTGTTCGCTGGAAGTTTGAGCTACTAGAGGTGTTTTCGATAGGTACCCAGCTCTAAGTGCGTTGTTATCGGTTGAAAGTGTTTAAAACTTTGAAATCTGAAGTAAATTTTTGAACAGTACTTATTTAGTTCACATTTAGGTTCTGTTGTTAAAGGAAAATTGTGTTATATTGAATTTTGTCGTAAATTTTTCTTTTTTAAATGTTTTAGTCATTTGTTTGATCTCTCTTTCAGTATTATCAGTGTTAGTGATGGTGTTTTAATGCAGCATTTTAGGTCTGCTGATTATATTATTTACATTTAGTGCACGTAATAATACGTTACCACATTCAGTTAAAGCATAAAATCATTTAAGTGCTATTAGTCTGTAAGATCCGTATAACTTGAAACTTTATAGCTAATAAATTTAACGCTATTATTTAGATATAGCGCAGTGGAGTTTACTACATAGGCTTCAACAATGGATTTATTATCATAGCTAAATTAAATCCATGAAATCAAAGTCTCTAATATATCAACAAGAAGAGGAAAGGGAGAAAGGGAGTTTATAAATTGAATGTTTGTCTTGAATTGTGATATGAAGTAATGTAGGTACAGTGAAAATTCTTTTAAAATGACATCGCATAATACTGTAGGTACTATTTGTACTAAGCTCATCTTACTTTATCAATCAGATTATATGATAAGATGAGGTTAATATAAGTAGTATTATCATACTAAACTTGATACTACAAAAACAATTCGATATTAAATTCGAACAAGATCGTAATGCGCAAGTAGAAACACTTATGGAACTCATGTCTTAGACAAAAAAGTCCAAAAAATCTTATGTAAAATGTTTCGGTCACTCCAAAAGTTTTATACTTAGACACAGCTAGGCTAGACAGAAACATAAAATTAAGTTTAAGTACTGTTTCAACATCCAAGCACTAATAAAGTTTAATTGACATTAAGAGACATTAACCCCGAAACTTCAAAGAGAACTTCCATTAAAGTTCAGACTTAGTTTTTCTCTGTGGCTCCCTCTATTCAAATATCTATCAACTCCCGGCAGAATATGAGGTAAGCGTGAGATTACAATCAAAATCATCCCCGCTAAGTGTATTATCTAACATTTAAAGTGTATGAGATGAGACACAAACGAAGAAATTTGCTTAATCCGTTCTTAATTTGGACTCCAGCAATCTACGAGGATTTGTTTGGCTTCGCGTCAGGGCGCTTCTTTGCTTTGTCAGTGTGAAAACGGATTATAGGATAAAAGGTTTTCTTGAGATGGAGCGCTCGTGACGACTCATATTCTAACTCTATTAGTAATTTTGTTAGTACGGGTTTGTAAAAATGAGCATGATATTTGGGATGATTGGTTTCCTATTTACTCTGATTTATTATTGCTTTTTGTATTTGTGTTACAAATAATATTTATTTGGCTACAGAAGAGTAATGTTGTTTGCTGTTCCATTCTGTACATGCTTGTTAGCAATGTGGGAATTACGCCAACTTAAGTTTGTATCTCCTCATTATCTTCAGCTCGCATTAAATATTCACCCCTCGGTTTCAAATTAAACTACAATTATGATGATGTCCATCCCTAGTCATATTTATTCTTCCACCAACCCTTAATACTCGCTAAGATGCCCAGCGGCGACGACTTAAAACTTCTCTGCATTTTCCTTCAAGATCAAAATGGAAATTTTAATATTGTCGGTAAAATTACCGGTATCTCTTCAAGGTGCGGCGTTTCGAGTTTAACTTAGTGCGGAAGGCAATTGCTTTCCTTCTTCCATTGAAATGTTCAACTTGCTGTCTCGAATCGACGTTTATTAAGTTTGGTCTGACAAGAAAAGTTGTGCAAAGTAGCTGAAGCAATCGTATTATGTCTACAACTTCATATTTTATGTTATCAACCTCTTATCTAAAGTTGTAAAGCATTGTTCGAGTGATGTTGCTGAATTTTTGGTCTGGTATTGATAAAAGCTGTTTCGATTATTTTTGTGTGTACTGTTTTCATCACATTGTCATGTTTACATCATATTGTCACACTTATCATAGTTTCTAATCATAAGTTTGACATCGCTAATGCGCAATAAGCAAGCGTGGTGATTAATGCTCAAACCTTCTCCGTGTGAGAAGAGACTTTGTGCAGCAGCTTTGCTTTATGCACTTATAGGCTGTTGATGATGATGTTTTCGTCGTTTTCTTTTTAAAATAGTATGCTGCTAGCGTATTGTGCTTGTGTGTGATTAATTTTATCATCGCATTACAAAACATGGTTTACGTAGAACCATCTAAACTAAAAAGTCTATTTAAATTTATGTTGTGGGTGCTACGTTTTTTTAAGTCTGGCTGTCAGACGTTCGATCGTATGTTTAACGACTTTTATGAATCTATTAGTCCAATGAAGGAATGTGTAGGTATAGTTAAGAACTTTCTAAGTATATGGCTTGATATTCAGTAAACGAGGGTTAGAATAAAATCCTGCAAAAATACATAACTTTGCAATAACCAATACTCCAAGAGAATTCGTCAGTATCATAAACTTGATTTCTTTCTAATATTCACAAAGGTGTATTGTTTTGCAACCAACTTACCTATTGTCTATTCATTTCTGCATTTTCATCGAATGGACTGTATCCCCATATTTCTTTCGTATCAATCCCGCTCACTGTTTCTCGATATCTCAATTTATTTTTCGCTTCTTTGAAGGACCCGAATTGATGATAAAAAACCTTTTGAGGATAGTTCGTCTTTTATATTTGTGAAGTGGAATATAATATTGGTTTTGCCCAACAAAGGTTCTTTCCAAAATTCTATTCTGATGTCGTGTTTTGGATCGTACTTTTCAGATTTATTTAGAATCGAAATTTTATTTTACATCATTGAATTGTTGAAGATTTGAAGAGGGTCTGAAAATCGGATTTTAATGTAAATAAAAAAAATGTTACTTTTAATGTAAAGCGTAAAAACGTAAATTAATTTTCTATTAGGTTAGATCATACATAGTCGTCAGGGTTATTACAAGTTTACATACATACATTAAAAAATATAAAAAAAATAATCCCTATGATGAACAGCTGATGAATAAATAGCCACAATAAAGTTTTAATGCACGTTTCAGTTTACTTTTCAATCCAACACACTTCTTTATAAATCCAAAGATACACTAAGGGAAAAATCTCAAGACATGTATCGTCGACGTGACAACGTTTAACTTATGTCCACAGTGACGTGCTGTTGCCAGACATGTCGACCATAATCCGACAACGTCGCGCTACTTTTCCCAACATCGCTGGCGCCACGTGTCACAAGATATTTTGTCCTTTAGTGTATCTATGGCTTAACGGAACATCGCCACTAACATAGTACTCAAGAGGCAGCAGATACTTATCAGAATCCCTTTACAGATGAGACGAATGACCGCTGGTGGGGTGAGTCAGCAGTGCCACCAGCTCCAGCAGTAGCCGCAGTTCCTCCTCAACGGCCTACAGCCTCCACTAGCCTTAACATCACTAGCATCAGTAGAGATGAACCCTCAGCGTCACCACCACGACATCATCTGGCTAATGATGGTAAGGCAGACGATTACTTATTTCTTATTATCAATTCTTATCAAAACCTTTTTAAGTGGCAAACTTGGGTTGTTCATCGTTGATACTGTCTTAATGATTAAGAGAATATTTATATTATTATAACATTTTTTTATTTTTTATTCACACTGTTACAAAGGTAGGGTAAAAAAGAAAATAAGGCTACAGCTCTGTGGTACCACACCGCAGACTATAAATGTGGTAGCACAGACTGATATTCGATATCATCAACTTATGAGACCGATATTTTGACTATCAAAGTGTTTGAGACAGACAAAGTGCTTAAAAATAGTGTTAAAATTTACATAAGTAATGTTCAGAAACTTAGAATAAATTCCCTTCATCACAAACAAAATCGTGATTTGAAACTCACGTCGCAATATTGGCAAAATTATCATAACAATCACTATATGTACTTACTTACATAACTTAGGCTTAACCTTCATAAAGGTAGCAGACTTCAACTACATACATCTAGTTCCAATACACAAACCATCCTTTCATTAAATAATTTATGGCCGTCCTAACATAGTGAATTATTTCAAGGAGCTCTATTGAATGCCGTAGTTTACTCGCCCAAGTTTACATACAGGATTCGGCAATATGCATAATTACCTGCCTTGTCTAAACAAAGATAAGTGTTGAGCCGATATAGCGTTGTTTAGGAAATATATACCTGCTTAGAATTAACACAAATCGGTCCTCATAATCCTTTTCAAATACCAATTTATTATGTCATATTGTTTACGTTAAATCCCTGCTGTGAGCTATTTTTGCGATTAATCCTTAGTTCATTATAGGCAAAGCAATTTAGCTTGATTATGATTAATAAATTGAAATAACTCGTTATTCAGTATTAGTAATGCGCAAATCAATTATCATAATGCTTCTTTTGTTGTCTTAGTGACCTTTTGTATAAGTAAGCAAATGGCATTTGTAAGCCAGTAATTTGTTTCGCTAAAATGATCTACCATTTACTTTAGCGGTGATGACACTATTAATCTCTAGCTGTGTTTGGGTCTTTTCTGACTTAGGGCCCAATTTTCACTTTAGAATACTGAATAGTGGTGAGGATCTTTGAGAACAAAAAGATTTGAATAAGAATGTTGATCCAAGTGTAGAAATGGTTTGACAGCAAACTAATGCATGGTCACATATTGTCGATGTGTGAATGGAACTTGATAAATGGTATAGTATATTTTATACTACTGCACACTAACGGAATTAATACTTTTTCTTCTTTCACAGATCAATTCGACATCATATACGTATACATCATAGCTGGAGTCGCTGTTAGTCTTCTGCTTTGTATCATCTTGGGTGTCATTCGCTGCGTCATGACCAAACAAACCTCCGAACAACCAAAGGGCCCAGACGTCTCAGCCACAACAGAAATCCCTAACGGATTCAATGACAGCATATCGGAAGTCGATAACGATATCAACATAACCAGTCTATCTGGACCCGTCGACACAGTTGACTCGGGTATCAAGCAAGATATTCAGTACTCCAACGTGGCTCTTAGTCCCAAAATCAATAAGTATGTTGGCCGACCAGTGCCCAATACGTATCCTCATGTGAGCACTAATATGTATGGACAGGTGGCCGAATTCCCTATAGAAATGCCTCTTCGAACTATGCCGCATGGCACGTTAGGGCGCGGAGTTGCGGTCAAAACTCTGCCAAGAGTTCAAATACAATCTGAAACGGACCCTAACACAAGGAGTTTATATCGATATTCTAACGCCCAATACTACTTCGGGTGACAACAAGACAAAAGCCAGTGTTCGGACGTATCCAGAACTTACTGTTTCTAGTTGAATCGTGTAGTGGAGTGTATATAGTTCACGGACTAACTAGTGAAGTTTGTAATGTTCTACTTTTAAATACGGAAACTGTGATATTAATTGAAAACTTTCCTATTGTACTGCGAACAGTTTTCCAACTGTAGACACAGAAAGACAGTGTGGTTGTTCCTCCGTTGTGTATTGAGAGATGGATCGTTGTTAGCGCGACTTTGTTACACTGTATTGACCTTTGATAACTAAGTATTGTTTTGCATGTCGAACAAATCTGTGTGTTCATTTAGGTATTCACATTGTTCCTTGGGGAGTTGGACGTAGTTAGGGGCTGATGTATTATTAATCTGTATGTTCAAGTAATGAATTTCCTGTATAGTCGGATTGTGTGGAGAGCCTAGCTAGTATGTGGGTACTTTGGTTTCATGCCAGCTCCTGTCAGGATCGTGCTAAAAGCCAAAAAATCTTTATTTATTGTTTAACATGTTGTATACGTATGTTTTTGCGGACATTTCGCTTTGTTTATAGCTTACTAATTTTCTTTCCACGCCTCCGGGCGTTGGTGGTTCGCGAATTATTTAAATTTATTTGTAATTCAAAGAATGAGTTGGATTGTATTCTGTTCATGTTGTGATTGTTTCTGAAACTTTCGATATAAGTAACTTCAAGACTAATAAAAATTGTTTGTATATTGTAAGGAACCCATCTGTTTTTGAACAGGCTAAATTGTGTCAGATATTTATTATATTAATAAATGATAGAATATATTTGTTTAAATGTTTAATTATTTATGTAATATTGTCGTATAAATTTCAAATTATAGGCGACAGTTTCACAAACATGATGCTAATTAAATTTTCGTTCCGACAAAACTGTATGTGATTCGTGTTATTGGCAAATTGCTTTTTGTGTCTACTAGTTACGAAACATATTAAGAGTTGAAAACGTTGTGAAAATGATTTATAATTGGTTGGTAATTAGTGTTATAGTTTGTATTTGATTTTATAATAATGTTCGACTGTTTTAATTAGGCTAATTAATTACTATTCGCTGTATGAGCTGCTAATAAAGATGACAGGATTTATTATACAACTTGTAACTACGAAATTATCAAATTGGAAGTGAAAATGATTTTTAAGACGTCGACTATAAATGTCAAAAACGGAATCAAATCCCGTAATTGGATGCCAATTAATTTGTCGATGTCTTATCTTGATTAGGTATATTATAGTTTACATGGCATTTATACGGCGTCAAAGGCTTAACCATCTATTTCTGTATCAGAAGTAATAGGAAATTCATTAATTTAGTAGGTATTAATTTTCCCTTTAGTCTGTCTCTTAAATGAAAATCATAAAAGATACACCTAAATGTGTCTACACACTACATTGATACCATCTTAACCAAAAATGACTATCGTGAGACAACTAATTAGGTATATATAGACTCACGACACAAACGACATTACTGAAATCACACACATACTTGAAACTGAATGATGCAAATACACGGATGCAATAAGGCCCGTTAATTGCTTTATGGATGCGGCACTATTAGTTCCCGTTTGACAACGAGCGGTGAATCTGAACTAACTCGTAAAGCGAAGAGGGGAATTTATGATAATACACCCATTTGCCCATTTCAACGAACTCGTTACTGTGTTGATTGATTGAATTATAAACTATATTTAATAGAACAATGGAGCTTTATTCATTGATTTTATTTTGTAAGAAAACATTTTTTTTAGCTATGAGTTCAAGGACTCTAAGTCTAAGTTATTTGGGACCCTATAGATGGAAGTTACATTCGAATAATGTGTACTGAGTTGATTTACAGGCAAACTTAGTGAAGATCATTATTGTCTACTTAAAACACACACAACCATCACAATCACTAACAAAGACGGTATGAATGTGATATTACAAATATCAAAGATTTTAGTAAAATAATCCGAATTATGCAGTGTACTAAACCGAGTATTTTAGTACAACTATTTCAGTAAATGCCTGTAACTATGCGTCATAGGAAACCACTGAACAGTCTAGAGATATCATATACAATGTCTGTCTAAGTACAAGTGACACGCCTCGGTACCGTACAAAGCGCTAACATAATATGATTTGTGTAACTGTGTATCTGCAAACAATTATGGACAGACAACATGTGGAATAATATCATATTAATATCTGTTCGTATTTCGGTTACATTGAGACTACCAGACAAGTTAACATTACCTATTTAGCTGGAGTTCTGAGTGGTAGTGATATTTTCTCGCATTTTGGCAAGTTTTTGAGGTCGATTGCGGTGTTAAGATTGCGCATCGTTGTCGTTTTATGGATACTATCGTGGTTTCCAGTTTCCGAAGTAGTTTTAGTACCAGTCTATAGCTATCTTACAACTTATAAAAGGCGCTATCATTGCCGATATTTTAATCAGTTGTAAAATCTGTGATTTTTGGCACTCATAAATACAATCACTAAAACACCAATCACACGCCATAAAGTGATTTCGTTTCCAAGTACACTAAAGAGATCTTCAAGCTATATCATATCCGAGCACAATAAATGGGAATCCAATTAAAAACTAGTACATTACAGTTAAGTTGGGGACAGCTAGTTGTCACGTCACAAATTAGGTGACACTGGGATTCTCGTAGCGTGCAAGACTTGGACGTGTTCGCCAACCAATTAATGTTCTCCGTGACTCTAACGATGCCGATGTACCGAATAACTGGATTATTTCTAAGCGGAGATTTGCCACCGTACCAATTGTAGGGTTCCAGGAAATTGCTTTAGCTCCTAGCCAGGCACTTTAGCTTCAAATACATTCTATCGAGGATTTTAAAAATTTTTACTTTATTTTTTGCTTTGTTGACTTTCGGTCTGCAGTTTTCTATAGTCTTTTATTGGACGCTCCAAGTTGGCTCCTTATGCAGTAATTAATGGATTGCCAATTTATGTAACGAATCCAAAGAAAGATAAGCGTACTCTAAACCAAAAATAACTGCGCGTTATTGACTGCTCTCTACTTCTTTGAACGGGAACTAAGGATGCCAAACCCATCGCGGTACAAGATAATATACAAAACAGTGTTACAAAATTCACAAAGCTAATAGGAAAATCCTGTACATACATCTAAACATCATAGTACCTACACAGATATATCATCAACAATCAACAATATAATATAAAAGTTAAAGACTCGCCACACAAACCGGCCGGTAGCGATACGTTCCGGCATAGAACATAACTATGAAATACTGCAACAGATTAGACCGCTCAGATTGTAAATCCTATTTTCACTCCATTGCCGCTCGCCGGCAGTCTGTCTGACGTGCCTTTTATATGGGTACTTTTATTTTCAAATAAAATTGAATTTGTTAACATAATTTTTGTTCAAAGAAAATTTTAAATGTTAGCTTTGACTTTGAATAAACGCTTCGAATGTGATTGTTAAGTCCATCTGATTTTAATAGAAATATTTTAGTACAAAATTCATAGCAGGATAATTGAGAAAAAAGAAATCAAATGATACATAATAGTATTCAAATCGTGTTCTTTGACTTCAAAAGTTCGCATGTCATTTGTTTATTCATAAATTTTTACTTATTAATCATAATTTTATTTAGAGCAAACTTGTAAATAATCATAAAAATACATTATATATTGTATCTTAAAACAATTACCTTAATTAACACAGTCGAATGACAAAGAAATAACATTTTCAAAATGACTGACTGTAAAGCCTATCCAGATCACATTAGTTAATATTTTTAATTGTAAAACTAATAAATATCTGTGTACAGATAACTTTTTATGTCGTACATCGATTTAATATTAAAGTAATGCACATTATTTTATTGTTTTATTTATTCACCCTTGTTATTGAAAGAGGTAGAGAAGAGAAAAGAGTATGAGAACTAGAGTAGAAAGCTGGAGAACTAGGGTGTGAAGAGAAGTATGAGTAGATTAAGTATGAGAACTGGGAACTTACACTTGACAAGCGGGATGTTCTTGGAAGTAGAGGAAGTTCATAGTTTAGCAATAGGCTGGTACGGGCTACTGACGGTGAGATGAATTTCAAATACCTATCTATCACGTATAATATATAATAATAGAAATTAAGAGACCTTAACAGATTATTAGGTAATTTTATACTGTATAACATGGCAAATATGGCAATAGGCACACCACCTACTATACGGGAGTAATAAAATGAATTGTGAAAAGTGGGTGTTACATTGTCCAGTGGCATTAAGTGCCGTAATATGCACCTCCGCCTACCCATTCGGGAATAAAAGGGCGTGATGTTATATGTATGTGTCTACAAAAATAGACTGCCTCTTTGGCCGAGTGGTCGTAAGTGCGACTGCCGGCCAAGGAGTCTTAGGTTCGACTCCCGAGTCGGGCAAAGTATTACTGTTTATTTATATTTATAAGTAGTACTGTAAGTTTTTAAATATTCTCAGTAGTAGCACGGAGTCTGGAATTGTGCCCGGTATATTGCAATAGGCTGACCCCCTATTACATGGGACTCATAACATAAATAGTGAAAAGTGGGTGTTACATTGTACAGTGGCATAATGTGCACCTCTGCCTACCCCTTCGGCGATAAAAGGCGTGATATTATGTTAACATAAAGTTTAACATCAGAGTCCAAAATCAGCAAGGGCAACAAACAAGAAACGACAACACAGCAATTTCTCGATATCAAAGCACATTCCCAAACAAGCTCATTCAAAAACAACTCCTGTCACGTCTGCGTATAAGCAGAAAATTGCTTAAACGAAGCAATACACAAATACAAGCAATTTTGACGTTGAGCTATAAATAACAAATGCAGTTGTCGAAGCTAGAGTAGCATGTATCATGTATTGCACACAAGTATTTGTATGTGAGATACGTAAAGATCAAATTGCATTGACATTGGGTAGAATAACAAAACAGAGTTTCAATGCCAAAGAAATGTTCTAGAAGAAACTTCGAGCGAAACTTTGTAAGTATCAATGTTGATCGGTAACTTGGTGTTAGGTATGAGGTAAAATGGATTCATCGTTGAGTAATCGCGTTGGTTACAGGATGATATTATCAGAATTTTACTCTTGATTTCTCAGTCTTCAAACATAAACTGCTAGTACTGTTTGTAGTTATGTCATACTGGTAATATAATAGTTTTCGGTTTCTGGTATCTGGTATATATAAGTTTTGTAAATCATGCACCCGTTGGATTTTGAGGAATGTTATATTAGATTTTTTTTAAATAGGATTTGCGTTTAAGGACACTCAGACCCGAAACAACAATCTATGGATCACACACAAAATTGTTCTCCCTCTCGCCTCGGTCGGGCGGGAGAAGCCATTGGATGATTTTCCCCCTCAAAAAAAAACGTCCGCGCCAACCATGTAGTCCAAATTTTGAGTGCTCACAATCCAAATTTTTGAAGAAGGTAAGATAACCAATACTAAGAAATAAAGAAGGTCAACCTAAAAATAAGCTGAAAACTATAAAAAAAGATTTTAAGTGAACTGTACAATTTTCTTTTAATACCTACCCTTTACTTATTTATTGGATCTTCTGCACTTGCTTACACTGCACCACAAAGCAGATCCAGTGTTCGACAACGAGGTCGATAAACGAGTTATGACCCATAACTTAGTCTCAGAACACTGCAGTATTGGAGACGTTTTCAGTATTACAAAAGATTTTAAAGCAGGAGACATACTTATGTTAGATCTTAAAACTTTAGGAGATGTTGTAAAACGAAGTAATAGTGGATATCGGAATTCAGCGATTAATAAGGGAATTTGTGTTGTTATTTCAATTTATTATTTTTGCAAGTTTGTTTCCGAAATTCTATCTTACTATAGTTGGTGTGCTACTATAATTAACAAAAAATATGCATTGATATTACTGAAACCCAGAATAACATACTTAATAATAATATCTAATATTTTTTAAACTTTGCCCTACCATATGGATTTTCTCCTGAGTTGTGGGTGCGATTACAAACATACAAGTTTACATATATGGCACCCAGACCCGGAACAACAATCTGAGGATCACATAAAGAGTTTTTGAATCGAAATCGAAATGCCTGTTAAAGGTAGAACCTGGGTTACAGATCATCAAGATTATGAATCTCACAAATAGTTTCTCCGTGCAGTGTGAAATGCATTAAGGCTATGTTACAACTGGTTCTGACGACGCACTATAATTGCTATAAAGAGTTAAACATAAGTAATAAAAAATATACACTGAATATGGTGGTCAGCTTACACTAAATTCATAGCATAGAGACATCACATCACACATCACATCAACAGCCTTTAATGCCCACTGATGAGCAAAGCCTCTTCTCACACGGAGAAGGTTTAAACATTAATCACCACTCTGGCTCGGGTTGGCTATTTTAAACTTATAATTGGAAATTATAAGCCCAGGTTTTCACACGATGTTTTCCTTCACTGTTTATCAGTGGTGTCTGAATAATCTTAGAAATTACATATAACTTGAAAAAAGTCACATTGGTACTTGCCGTTGGTAGGTTTCGAACCTGCACTCTTATGCATGAGAAGTCTTAAACCTCCGGGCCACCACGACACATATAGAGAGATCACTTAGTACTAAATCCAAAACAGTTTGAAGCTACTTCAAAATTTGCACTGAGTAGTCATTATCATAATTAGCGTATCACTGGTTGCAGCTTTCATACTTGTTGGATATTTGGAAATCACACAACAAGCAGTTGACCGGTTTGAACACAAAGCACAGATATTAGGAAAGTCATTCTGTTAACGAACCCAGTTTCCAACAATGATCATCGTCGGAATTGATTGTACTGAAATCTAGTTAAGACCGACCGATTTGTCATTCTATTTGTGATCGCATAATGTATCAAGGGTTTTATTTTCTCTAAAACTTGGTAGGTATATACCTGCTTAAAATATCCATGACGAAGTCGCCACCACTTTTGCTAAATATACTTACAATTACATAAAAAGAAGAATGACATAAGTCATTGCCATCCCCGACCCAAAAAATTGGTCAAGTCCACTATAAATGGCTATCCCCTGTAAGTACAAAGCTTGCTCCATCCCTATAAATCACTTGGCCACCGCTATCTTAATTTATAGCTGCATTTTGCAAGCGTAAAATTAAAATTAAGCAAACATTTGTTCTCGACTTTTGGCTAAGTATCTTTATTTGTGATTTATTTAGTAGCTATATGGTAGTGCTTGTACGGGTTGAGTTAATGGATGTTTTGTAAAGGGTTAGGTGTTTGTGTGATTTATTTTAAGCAGAATAATGTACACTTTATTACCTTTTAATCCCCAATGAATATAATTGTAATATGTATTAAATTGGTTTCTTCGTGTTTGTATTTAAACTTTCGTGAGACATGCTAATTAATTATTATGTTTTCGGCTTACTCATGTAACTGTTTGACAAGTCATGCTAGAGGCTCATATACGCGGCGACTGTCGCGCTGCTACTCTGTCAGTAGCAGCGCGCAGTAGTCACGGGTCGCGGAATGCTGCTCATGAATATCAGCCTCTAGTATGGCTTGAAACTAGTCGAGTTCCTTGTCAAACAGTTACGTAAGTAAGCCGAAAATACAACAATGAATTGGTTTCTTCGTGGTTTATCTCATTTGATCGGTAAGGGGAATTAGAATTTCAGATTTCTGTTGCTATGTCGTTGTCGGAGAGCATGATTCCGTAGTAATTTGCTCAGTTCTGAGAATCAATCTGACCTTGGTAACTACATCAATCACATCTGTGATTATTGACGACTAGGAGAAACTAGTAAGATTCTATTAAATTGATGATAATCTTCTCATTTAAAAGTAAAAGATTAATTTACGACGCATTAAATAATAGTACTAATTACAAAACGTGAATTGGTTCACAATAGGGTTTAGTGTTGTTTCACAAAAAAACAGTTGCTACGCGCTTTTAATTCAAATGCCTTGATGCGAGAGGGTGTTCAAGAAAGTTTTGAAACAATTCATAAACTTGTTCTTTTCTTATAATATATTCATCGGATGAGTTCGAAGATAATGCGCTCTTGAAAAATTTTTGCTCACCCCCTAATGTTTTGTTTTATTCATTATACGCCCTGGTCTTATGTTTTGTTCTTGCTCACGTAATTTGAATGCAATGTAGTCTTAAGTAGGTTAAAAGAAATAATCCTTTCAACTTATTAACCCTCTTTTTTGTACAAATAAATTTTTTTTCGTACTTCAATCAGTTTTGTTTAATGAAATTCCTGTAAGTATTATTGGAACGGCTGATTTGTTTAGAAATCCGTTACTTACTAGATATCTACATTTTAGGTACTTAGTTTCTCTGTAGAATCAGGGTCCAAAATATGTAGACCCGAGACACGGAAAATGGTGTCTTTCAAGATTTTTGACTACTATTTCGTCTATGAATGACATGAAACTATATAAAATATGAAAGTTATTCTGATGAATAAAATTTGACACAGTTCCACTTCATACATAAGAGATCACCTAACATACATGTATAATTCAATCACGATCTGTCCCAAAAACCTATAAATAAAACAGACTATTCCATCTAAATCTGTGAAAATCTATTTTATTCAATTCAAAACATGAAAAGCATCTCAATTTCTGATTGTCAAGTTTTATGAATCAAATGTTTTGTGAAGCTCCACGTGTAGTCTACCTACTTGATGACGTAGTAACCTGTGTCTTACGTAATCATGTTTATTGCCTACATCCTGTAAGTTTCAGGCCGAGGCGGATGTCTCGTGTCTTATGTAGACAGAGCTGTAATGAAATTTGTGGAAACCTTTACTATACATTAGGTTAAGTA